TGTGTGTGTGTGTGTGTGTGTGTGTGTGTGTGTGTGTTTATTTTGCTTTAGTTTGTTTTCTTCCCTAGTTCCTAGTTCATACTCTGTTCCAAAGGCAGGCCTCCTCCAGGAGCACGTCAAAATGGAGCTTGCTACATATCCAATAAAGCAACAACAACAAAACAAAACAAAAACAACCAGGCTTTCCTGGGTCTCCCTGTCCAGTCTTTAAACAATTGTAACTATTCAAGACAAATCCATAAAACCCAAAATATGAGGCTTGAGGAGTTTCTAAAAAGCTAGACATGGTGGCTTATGGGAAGAAAACAAGAACTTTTGGATCCATTTGCTGAGAACTCCCCAGGAATGGAAATTTCTTCTCTAAAGATCATTTCAGACCTTGCCCTATGTACCCTTTCACCTGGCTGGTAGTTTATACCAGTTTATAGTGTTTCCAGCTAAGTGATCAAAACAGTGAAGTGTCTGCTGGTTGAGCCCTCACTCTGTAGGTTCTGGCATTTCTCCAGGTAGGTGGTCTTGTAACTGAACTGGACCACAGGACAACCAACTTGTCCACAGGACTGATTGTGTTGGTGGAGAAATCTGCAACCTTTCAGACTCACAGGAGAATAAGCACAGAGTAAAAGAAGTTTGGTTTCCAACACCCGGAGACAGGTGGAGTGAGTCTTAGCACTATACACCCATGAGGAGACTAGCTTATGAGTTTAAATAGTAAGAAGAAATATTTAAAACCATGTCTGTCTTTGAATATTCTCCCTCCAGGTTCTAAATGACATTTATCATTAGAGAACCTTGTTTTGGGGACACACTTTAAGCCCTGTCTCTCCTATAGTGCTTATTAGCCTGCAAATCCTATGAGTTAGAAAATAAAATATAACCTCAAAGTCAGCAGGTACCAGCAGGGGACAAGTAAGACTTGGTTAGAGATCTGTTAGCTTTCTAGTTCCCCACAGACATGCTGATTTGAGCTTCTGAACATTTCTTAATATTTTATCCATTCTGTTCAATATAACTTTTAAAACTG